AAAATGCCGGCTTTTCTATGTATTGGTTGGCAATACAATGCAAGCAGAATGTAACTCATTCATTCATTCATTCAAACATGCAAGTCGCCCTAGAACTTAATAGTATCAGTCAGTCAGTCCTCAATAGCCTGAGTAAAGTTCTAAACTTTTATACTCCCGCCATTGCTTAACTATGTTAATGTTCTTACCAAAAAAAAGCAACAAAATACTTATATAGTATAGTTTTGAGTAAAACTAGAACTATAAACAAATATTATTTTTCTTCTCTTTTTTTTATAATTTTATATTTAAAAATTAAAAATGTGTCGGAAGAATTATGCCAATAACACAGCAATACAGCAACGCGGCAACACTGCTGCTGAGCGCTCAGTTAAGCTCATATTAGCAAGCTAACTTCATGCAGTTAACTTATAAAAATTCTCCTGTAAGTAGGAAACTACGCTAGCGTAGCAACATGTCAGGCGCACAACAACAAGAACACAGCGTTAAGCTCATACTCAAACTACGTCCACTCACCAAGTTCGACTAATACATTTACACCAAAATCAAAAACAAAAAAAAAGTCTGCAAAAAAGTTCACCACATTATTTTGCTCATTAATAATGCTCAGAAATGCACACAGCTAGCGCATTGGCATGTAAGGGGTAAAGCAAAACTTACAGCAGGAAAAAAAGTGCATTGTCTATGTGTTTATATGTTTAAGAGTTTTCATACGAAAATTAACTCAGCTTAAATTTTTTTTACACGCTGTTTTTCTCACTCACGTTTTTTACTTCAAAATAGAATATTACTCAGCATGGACTTCTGCTACTGCGTTTGCTGCTGCCGTTGCTGCTACTGCTGCTGCTATTGTTGCCGGTGCTGCACTTAAATTACGCTCCCACTGTTGCATTATATATTATTTACACTCAAAAATTGTAACGCGACGTATGTTTCATTCAATTTTTTCGCATTCGCTATTTTTTTACAGAATTTTCTACTGGAAATCTTAAAATTTTGGCTCAACAGTTATTTATTCTATGTTTGTTTGTGTTGACAAACGTATCTCAGGCGATTGCTTTAATTTGTAACGGACGAGCTTTATTTCTTATAGACTAAATATTTAAGTTTTTCTTTTTCTTTTCTTGTTTTCTTTTGCTTCTATATTACGAGTATTTGTTATAAAGCTTGTAACATTGCGGCGGCAGAACGTAGCGCAAAACGTGCACAAATGCAACTGACTGACAAGCTGAGCGGTTGGCTCGTTGCACATGCACTTTTCGTAAAAAAAACTTTTTTTTGTAATATTATTTTTTTTTTTCTGTACGAATGATGAATTAAAAAATAATGCAAAAATTATACTAATAAAGTAGGAATTGCAAAAAAAAAAAAACGAAAACATTTAATATAATAAAAGAAAATGACAAAAATTGTGTAGAAATTGTAAACAAAAAGCAACGAAAATGAAAATTAAAAAAAAAAATAAAAAAACTGAAAAAATTCAGTTGTACTGCGTCATATTTACAACTTGAAAGTGGACGAGACTGAGTTGAAGATATTTTGACTCACTTAAATTCGCTAAAAGTGCGGGCGGGGGAAGCTGCTGGTAAGGGTTGCACTTTAGCAAGTTCAATGATTTTTAATTAAGACTTTCTTCCTTCAATTAAAATATTCCACTTATTATCTTTCTCTTTTCTTCTTTAATACTCACTTCTTTTATATCTTCAAAGTAGGGAACCGGCATTTTACTAAAAATATTGATAACGATGTGTTTTTACTTTTAAATTAAAATTATTATAATTATTATATATTGATATTAATTTTTTTTTCAAATTTAAATATTTTAAAATTTATAAACAATAATATAAAAGAAATAAAGAAAAAACTAAGGCTGTAAGACTAACGCGTAAGTGGAGACAGAATCCGTCGAGAGTGAGAGTGGGTGATATGATAATAAACTAGGAGGATAGCGTTAAATATCCCGGGATCACGTTGGTCAAACGTTTCTCAAGGCTTAAGCATGTTCAACTGAGAATAATTAGCTGTGCCAAAATTCTTTATCACATCCAACCGCTATTCAGAAATTAAAATTTCAATGCTAAGAACAGGAATCTGTTATATAACCAAATAATTCGTCTGTCACTTCTATATGGATGTGTAGCGTTTAGCAAAGCTTTAAACACTACTATTTGCCAGCTAGAAATTGCACAAAGCCAGGCTCTGAGAAGACTTTTCAAAGTACCATGGTACATTAGGACGAATGAAATTCTCAGGGACATCAAGATCCCATCAAAAAATACAGAAAGGATAGAGCCATGAAATTATTTACGAAAACTGACAGACTTACCAACACCGCGTTATCAAATCTCAGAATGGTTACAGGCTCCTCGGGGAGGTATGCAGATCTGAGGTCAATTATTGTTTAGTCTGATGAAGTAATAAACAATAATCCAGTCAAGGCGTAAAGAGGGGTTTTGAAAATACCTCGACTTAAAAAAGAGTAAAAGTGCTCAAGTGCACTAGCTCAAATAACTTCAACATAATAAAAAAATAAAAAAATAATGAAAAGTAAAAAATACTTATCTGAATCTTCCCTATCTGTTATCTAATTGTTACTGTTAACTAAGAGAACTGTTAAACAAGATTATGAGTCGATCATAATTTGGAGTATATTCGAAAGACAAATTCAAGCTTTCAAAAACTGTTTTATACAACAAGGAACTATAAGAACTATAAAGAAAAAACTAACTTAGCCGGCATTTAACCTAAACAATTTATAACGATATATTTTACTTTAAAAATGTTGATTTTTATTATTTTTTAAAATTAACTTATTTTTAAATTCAATATATTCATATTGCTAAACAATGATAAGTAAAAGAACAACGAAAATGACAAATAAAAAACTAAAAGACAAACTCTGACCATTACCAGAAAGTTATATGAATGTTACTTGAAAGCTTCTGTTAACTAACAGAACTGTTAAATACGATTATGAATAAGTCCATCATGATTTGGAATGTATTCGAAAGTTAGATCCAGTCTCCCGAAATCTGCTTTATAAAATAAAAAATTAACTTGAGTTTAAAAAAGAAAATTGATGCTTAATTATTAAATGTAACCATGGATGAATCATGCCCCGAACAATTATAGACTCCTAAAATGTGTATTTAAGAGAGCACAAATGGATTTCACTTTTAAAGGATGTCCTTATCTTGAGTTTTATTCATATATTTTAATGTTAATAAATCATGTTAAAATCTATGCGCTCATTCATGCTTCAGCTCATCATTAAAGACATTCAGACCGAATTCGGTTATAGAAGATTGGATCAATTCTAATTGTCACAGACAATTAAAATTAAAATTAGTAGCACATTCAGTTTACTTAAACATTCAATATATTTTTGTAAATTTGTTGTAGGAAAAGAAATTATATAGATAAAAATTTACAGAATATTTAGTCTATTCTCTTTTGTTTTATAAAAATTACTATTAAAACAAGATAAGTGAATTTGGATTTGTGATTGGAGCTACACATAATTTTACAGCGATGGATTAAATTATAAATTGATTGATTGAAACTTTACACAGATTACAGGAACGAAAAGTTTATATGGAATTTTAGTTACAATATAAACGTTTAAATCTACACGAAATCTTTTTGAATAGAAGATATTTTGCTTTTAATATAGCTTTTAATATAGTGATAATATTTTAATATAGCGGCGTAACTCTTCAACACTTACGCCTATTTATTTGCATTCATAGTTCTATTAATATTATGTTTCATATTACTTTTAGATGATAGATAATCTTCTGGTTACTTATAGAGAACACCTCTACTAATACCTAGAACACCCTTTGGGACAAATACAACTGAACAATAATAGTTGACCATTCACAAGGCTGTTGAAGACATCTTAGTTGATCTCACGGAAATGGATCCAAACACTATTGGAAAACAAAATGATTGATAAATAAATGAGGTAACACAATTTATATTTTTGATAAGTTATGAGATGTTTTTCGAAGACATCTACATGAACATCATTGAAATGGAACTGAACATAATTGGTTCAGTGGTTATCTAAAATGATGGGCAAATACATTGGGGAGTATATTTAATAATGCGTTATAAAAAATAACAAATGAATAGTGGCGTATCTTCAGGTAGATTCCTACCTTGACGATATGATCAACGCATAATGTACTGCAAAAATGCTATCAAAATAAATACTTTCTAATATATCTACCCTCTCTCCCCACTTGCTAAAATTCTGGCTACAAAAGTGTTTTTAAGTTAATGTAAGGAACACCAGATGTTGTTCTTCGTGATGGGCACGTTTACTATATCCCACATTGTTAAAGATATCTACCATCGGTACCATTGTAGCATCTACCTCAGGACGTCTTCGATAGTCGTAACGCAACTAACGTGGGCATACAGAAATTTATATAAAAACTAATGTATAAGTTTGTAATCAAACTGTCATTTAATAAGCTATAGAAGCTTATTAAATTTCTTTCAGGAAAATATTTAAGGACAAACAGTCCATTGACTCATTTGATAAGCTGTATAAGTTATTGAATAAAAGATATACGTGCGTACAATTGGATGGTTAAACTAGTAGCAAAATTTCAATTAAAAATATATGTTTTTTATAATTTGGATATTCCAATTTGTGTTACATTAAAACGAAGGATAGATACTATAGCTTTACCAAAACCGCAAGGTATCCTATATTAAATGTTTCAACCAAAAACGCACTAAAACAGTCTTATCCAACACTGTTATCCCAATCACATCTGTAAGTAGTAATACTATTTCTACTACTATTATTACAACTATTATTACTACTATTACTGCTACGATTACTATAGTTCAGGCACTACAAGTTGCCAATTACTTCACGATAATATTTTCGATAAATAATTTTAACAAAGCAATCGATTTTTTTTATTATAACATTTTTCATGACATACGTCAAAAATCATATTCTAATATTTAAAAAACCATTTAGTTATCTTAGTTCTTTGAACTAATAATTGATAACTTCTATCTTTTTTTTTTGAAGCAGATAATTTTTTAGAAACTCCTTTCTAAAAAATGGGAAAAAGTATACATTCTAGTAAGTAAAATAGAAAAGAATAAAATTAGGTTTTTTTGAGGAATTTTAAATCAAAAAATTTTTTATTTATATAGTGACCACAAGACAAAAAATAAGACAGGAAAGTGGTCCACCTATTTTAGAAGCTGTAATCAATAATGATGAAGTGAAAAATGGGACTGCACGTAAACGTAAAGGGCAAAAAAAACAAAAACCTCAGAGGAAGACAGACAGTAAAGCTGCTGAAGAGATAGTTTACCCAAACATAAACAAAACCATCTTAAATAATATCAAAGCTTTAAATCTAGAAACAAAAAGAAGAGCGGAAGAGCAGGTCGCAACAGAGAATCAAGAGAAACATTTTGGATATAATTTTAATTTACGTAAGAAACAGTTATTATATTTCTGTAATACTTAGTTACTATTATTATTTTTCTCTTCTATAGATGAGCCACTCAGTAGTAATGTTAGTAAGTATTTAGAGCAAATTTATTTAAATCAATCCGACATTAAGACATCATTTAATTGCAACAAAATAGTAAAAGAATTTAATACAAAATTAGTTTAAATAGACTATATAACTATAAATTTAGGAAATAGTTCAGGACTTAAGTAGAATTATATTAGAATTTGTCTCTTTCAAGCAAACTTAGATAGGACATTTTATTACAGGATATAAAAAGTACTGAAATTTGCTTAGGTCTAGTGCCCATTACGATATCAGTGGCTAATTTATTTTAACTCATCAACTTCCTCTTACAAATCATCTGGTTTTTATGACAAACTTTACTAGGTTCATTAATTTAATTGTACCCAATTCTGCTCATTTTGCAAAATCAAATATTTAAGAAGATTTGAAAAAAATAAGCAATCTTACATTGTTTAATAGATCTTCCATGTCTTCTTTCTAATAATTTCTTTACAAGTCCCTATTGTGGCACCCAACTTAACCGCTTGTCTACCTTATAAGCAATGACTTATATTGACGGACGTAAGCAGATTAGTATTAATCCCAGTTAAACTTAGGAAAGTGTTTGTTTTTGGTTGTAATATTTTCAGAAATAGCTGTTTTGGTATAATGTAGGTTCTGTACATTCTAGTACCTACCAAAAGAATATAAAACCAGATCGTGACTTTTATTTGTTATATGTCCCTGTTTCATTATAATATAGCGACTATTAAATATAATATAGGGACTATTAAAATAAAATTTAGTGCAGGGAAAGAATATCATTGCGATGAATTATGTAGTATTAGAAATGTATTCAATAAATCTGACTACACATTTCTCGGTCTCACACTTTTCATTATTTTTTTCAGCATATTACTTCTTAATGAACAAAAGATTAAACTATAAGTAATCCAATGAACTTTTGAAGAGTTGAGTTATATAGGGTCACACAACTGGACAACTTTTAACTGGACTTATTATTTATTCATTTTATTTTGCCTTTAGTTTTGATTTATCACTATATTATATATTTTTTTTTGAAAATAAAATCATAATTAATGTTATATTTGTCAAATAAATAATTCTTTAGAATAATATTCTCTTAAAGACCAAAAAAGTCATTTTAAAAATTTTTTTCTGTTAAGATTTTCGTATTTATGACTTAAATTTATTTAAATTCAGTTTTAATATATCTTGATATATTTTTAATCTTAATAGATGGTCCCAAAATTAACGGTGAAAAGACGAAACGTAAATTATATACACCTGAGTGGAATTAATAATTTTTAAATTAGATATGTTATTTCCTTTACTATTTTCAATTACCTCTTTTAATCGAAATGAGCGGGAAAGATCAATACTATATGCTCAACTTATCTTACGGATAATAAAACAATCAATGTGAGTATGCCAGCTAATTGCATCAAATAAATAAAAATAAAAGTATGAAAATAATAATTTTATTAAATAGGTCAAAAAATATGAATAAAAACAAAATTTTCAAACGGCACCTTGTTTTAGTAGTAATTAAGCTCTAAAAAATTGAAAAAATGGAAGAGGGTAAGAAAAAAATTTAATGGCTGATAAAACTGCCATTTCGGCTTAAATTTTCTAAAAAAACTAATTACTTTAAATATATTGAAAGAGAAGAAATAGTTAATGGAAATTACTTTAGCACACAAATATCTAAAATTGAAAACAAATTTTGAGTTCTCAATTTACTTTACAGTATTTCGGTATATTCTCAATACATTATTAGAATTTCGCTTATCTGGAGTTGAAGAGAACCGAATGCATTTTCTTTCTATCTTCTACCTTCTACCATAACGATTAAATATGATAGTAAAAAATTATTTTTTATTCGTAAAAAAATTGTTGTCAAGGACATTATTAGGACATTTATTTACATAAGATAAGTATCAACTAAGGCACTAACCACAATTTCCTAACAAGACGGCGACACTCGAATTTCAATAAAAAAACATGCAAAAAAAACAAAATTTAAATTAAAATAAAAATAAAAAAAAATATATATAAATTCAGCCCAAGACAAAAGCGCACAAATCCACCCTTTTGGATTTAAAGGATAAAAATGCACAAAATTGCATAAACAACACAACGGCAACAACCGAAACTGCAATGCACAAAAACTGCATTCATTGCGGCTGCATTTTTGAAAGAAAAAACAAACAAAAAAAACGCATATCAACAAAACTTTGGAAGAAATAATGCAATAATGCAATAAAAAAAAACCTTTTTGAATGCATTTTTGGGCAAATACGTCACTACTAGCTGCACAACGAAATGCAGGCAAACAAATAAAAAATAATAAATAAATAACACACAAAGGAGAATATAAAATAATGTGCATAAGAAATATCAATCAAAAAAGGGATACAACAAAAGAGTTGGAACGAAAGAAAAAAAAATGATTCTGCAGACCAAAATATACAAAATAAGAAAAATCGTAAAAATTGCATGCTGCATCTTTAAGATGCAATTTATATGCAAGAATAAAACCGACGACGCTGAATATGTGTGTGTGTAGGAACAGAGTGCGAGCTGCACTTTGGTGAATTTATTACAATGTGCGTTGACATTGGTGGTGTGTGATGTGGTGTGGTGTGGTGATAATAGAAAGCGCAAGTGTATGTATGTGTTTTATTTAATTAAACTCATAATTCATGGTGAATTTCGAAATCAGTGGTGAATATGGCTATATCTATTATAATTACAACAGCTTTACACTTGACATTAAGCAAAAACTTTGCATATGTGAAGAGGCCGGCAGAAACTTTATGATTTGAGTGACGTGCGCATGTGTGAGAGCGAGCTTGTGTGTGCGTGAGTGAATTAATAAATCAGTCGTACGCTCAATTAAGCTCAGATGTAAAGCGCTCGCTCAGTTTGTTTTTGCGCACACCTATTGTGCTTAACTCACTGAGTAGATCGTATCGTTCTCTTAGCTATGAGGAATGCAAATGCAATTCGAGTACCAATTTCATTTAAGTCTATCAACTGTTAATTTGTTCATTCAACATGCAAATTTCTCTATAGAACGAAACTCACATTTATTACGTTAGTATGGTTGTTGTGTTGAGTTACTTGTGCTGCTGCAGTGAGCTGCAGTTGTTGTTGTTGTTGTTGTTGGCGAAACGGCGTTGCATTAAACAACAACGTACGAAGTGCAGTTTGGAACGAAATTCGACTACAATTTAAATTTTGTAAAAATATTTTTTTTTCAATTATTTTTTTTGTTTGTAAAAATTTTCTTATTGTAGTCTTATTTGTTGTTGGTGTTGTTGTTGTTGTTGCTGTTGTTATTTTTGCATTTTTGTGTCTTTCAGAGGCATTCATGCGAAAATCGAGAGCAAGGTTCAGTTCAAAAAATTAATAATATATATTTTATTGTTGTTGCTATAGTTATTCTTGTTGTTGTTATTGTTGTTGTTGCTGTATGTATTTTCGTAAACGAACATTTGTAAAATGCATCTACAAAAACAAAAGCTAACAAACAAAAATAATATCTTAAGCTATTCGTGAAAATGCGCGAATTATGCTCAAGGTTAATTTGGCAATTTACTGGAAAATTAACCTTTATTTTTGGTTTGCTTAAAATTAATTTTCAATTTTCATGCACTTCGTCGTTATTTGCACACAAAATGAAGGCTTGGCAAATTTACTTGGCAAATTTACTTGGCTTGGTTACTGAACTTTGTACACGGCCATACCGGAGAACTGAAGCTGGGCGTCGAGCCGCTCTACGTTTTGGAGTCAATGCAAACCTTGGTCACGTCAGTTTGTCAGCGCTTGTTTATTTTATTGGCAAAAATATTTTGAAGGTCTTAGCTATGATTTGCATAGGTTGTAGCTTGAAGAAATAGTTCATATTTCTTTAACGAATTATTTCAAATTTGAAACAAAATTGCATGCAATGAATTTCACTGGATTTCTATTGAAAAGAGCAGTTTACTCTTAATTACTTTAATTTTAGTGTCAAATCTATTTGGTAAATGCCAAATAGTTCTAATTTTAACTAAAATTGACGTTAAATAAATTTAAATGAATATCTTTTGCTTACTTAGTACAACATTTAGTTAAAGAACTATTAGTTAACCATTAAAAATCATATATTTTTCATAAGAAATTACACAGATTAGATTTTAAAACGGGTTGGGAACTTGTCACCACGTTACTGCATCCTTTAAGGATTATTCTGACATACCCACTTTAGTTTCGTAGACGAGTAACAGTTAAGAACACCACTATGTCCTTTGGAGAGTTGTTGCCTAGTTCTGTTATAAGTGGATAAGTACCGAAGTATAAGTCTGGCGAGACTATCATAGTGACACAAAATGTGTTCTGCTGTTTCTTCTTCTTCACAACAAAGTCTGCAGCTATCGGCTCTAATAATATCTAATAATACCAAAAGAAACCTCTTCATTGGCTTATGCAATTAGTGTTTTTTAACTCTGCAATGCCCAGTGAGAAACCCTGTGACAAGTCTGATGCCAGCGTATGTTCATAAGTTCTGTTCAGCATATGTAACTCCCTAGTTTTGGCTTTTGATAAGTACGGCATGGATTCTTTAGCTTATCTGCAGGCAAGTGTATTACCCCAATCAGTCTGAGCTTATCTCTCCAACCACGCATTAATTTTAGGTTTGAAAAAGCTTCATAAAGGACCGCAGACTAAAACAATTAAATGATTAAAAACATTAAAATCATCAATCTGCACAATAATTGCTTTACTAAATTCAATTCATATCAATTACAAAATAAACCTTTTTAATTTCGTTGCTTAAGCAATTAGTGTTTAACGTAGCTCAAAAAAATACATTAAAGCTAACAGCACCAAAAAAGCACAATCAAAAAATTAAAAGTGGTATAGTAGAATTATCACTTTAAAAATTTCCTTAGTAATTCGTACTTATATCAATTATAAAGTGGATTTTTTATTTTTTTAGTGACCTATGCAATTAGTGCAAAACATAGCTAAAAAAAATTAGGTTAAAGTGGAAAAAGTGCCAGCTAATATAAAAAAAAAAAATTACAAAAAAAACGACGTGGTGTTGTAGAAACATCACTCTAAAAATTATTTTATTAAATTGAATTAATTTTATTTTAAATAAATTGTTTACAAAGTTAACTTTTGTACTTACCTCAAATATATATATTAAAGTGGCATGAAGTGACAGCTAACAGCACCAAAAAATGCAAAAAAAAAAACAAAAAACTAATTAATTGCTTGAAAGATTTTTGTGGGCTAATATGTAATCATTGTTAGGCTAGATTAAGTTGGAGTGGGGATTTGTGATCATTGTAACTTGTTAAAGAAAATGCACAAGTATTCATGAAATTTTTTTTCATAATAAAATAGAAAACACAATTATACCATAAACTTGACTTAAGTGTTAAGTGCTTGCTTACCACTTTTCAGAGAAATACTGCATTAAGTGACTGCTAAACGACTCGCGTGACACTGACAATTCCTCATACATAAGTTAACATTGTTATTAGATTTTTTAAGACAATTATTTAAAATCAAGTTTTTATCCTTACGACTTAACTTCATGTGAACTTCCGCTTCTTTAATTAAAAGAACTGATATGGGCGAGTTTTTCTTGTACGCCAGACCACAGAAAAACCCCGGATTTTCTAATTATTTGTGTGTTATAAATTTTGCTTCGATAACTTTTTCTATTAATAAACAATTTTTCAAATAAAATTATTTACTGACTTTCTTTTCTTCACTTTTTTTTGGGTTTTTTAATTTAAGTCTTTTTCTGGTATGAAAGCATAAAACGGAAACGATTTCCAGTTGGCTCTAAGCCTCACATCCGTTTTATTATCAATTTGACAGCTGAAAATCAGATATTTTTCACCATGTAATGCAAGCCAACAACAACAAGAATAGTAACAGCAACAACAACAACAACAACAACAACACTAACAACAGCAGTAATAGCAGCAGCAACAGTTGTAGTTGGTAATCACAACTACATGCACAGATAGACAAACTTCCTGCCTTTAAGTGTCATAACAGCTCGAGTTATGGCCACTTAATTTTGCTGTTGTTGCTGTTTGTCCATTAACCAACACTGGAGAACTGCAGCACTGGAGAATTGGTTAATGCCGCTACCAAATGTTCTTGCCAAACTTCTTTCTGTCTTCCAGTATTTGTTCGGAAGCATTTCACTGGAAATAATGCTGAAGTTGTTGCAATTGTTGATGTTACTGTTGTTGTTGTTGTTGCTGTTGCTGTTGCATTTGCTTACCTGGCATTTGCCTGGCTTTTGGTGCAATCTCACGAATCGAGTTCTACTTCCGTTCTAATGTGAAAGTTTAACAAGCCACAAGACTCACATTGCCACACAAATTGGAAGCAGTTTGAGTAGCAGCAGCAGCAGCGGCAGCAACATATTTAGAACATTGTTGAAGCGAGCCCGCAAACCAGAAGCGCCTGGCGGGCAGCTCTAAATAAGTGGGCTGGCACAGGAACAAGCACTAAACACAGGAAATGTTTGTGATTTAAACTGTTTACTTTATTATAAAATTTAATTTAGCACAAAATATAGACTTGACCAGCTCGACTACACAGATTTGTGCTTAATTTATGAAAAGGAAACAGGAAGTTCAGTGTTAGGCAAAGAAAAGGGACTTAATAATTTTAATACATAGATTTTATTATTTATTACAAAACTCAATTGCAATTTGCAGTTTAATATTCATGAAACGATTCTGGGAACTTGTTTTTTACACTTAAGAATT